TGCGTGCAGCGCACACAACAAGGAACTTGCGAAAACTCTTCTGCAAAACGTTCTTCTATCAAAAAATATGTTTTGAAACGTTGAAATCCCCAGACAGCTAATTAATGCTCCCCAGATGTCGAATGTCTGTCTGTCATCTGTTTAGTGGGAGCTACAGTAACCTCTATCTTCGTTGCCCGACGCAAACTGTAGGTCCAATTAAAAAGATACATAGAAGCACGTATTTTTGTAAATATGTTTTGAAACGTTGAAATCCCCAGACAGCTAATTAATGCTCCCCAGATGTCGAATGTCTGTCTGTCATCTGTTTAGTGGGAGCTACAGTAACCTCTATCTTCGTTGCCCGACGCAAACTGTAGGTCCAATTAGAAAGATACATAGAAGCACGTATTTTTGTAAATATGTTTTGAAGTGTTGAAGTCCCAAGTGGCTAATTAATGCGATCGAAGTGACGCAATGCAGAAGCGCGCGTGAGAAGAGCGCTTGGTTTTCATGAGCTACAGTAGAATTCGCGTGTTATGTTTCTTCATACATTTAGATGCATACTGTAGGTGTAATTTATTTGGAGAAGGAAATGCTCGCAAAAAGTGGGTGCACATTACATGCGACCTGCTTCTGCTCGTCTGCACCCTTCCACCGGGATGATGATCCCTTCCTCTGCTGGGGATGTACCTTAGCAAATGGGAGGATCATTATATGTGCTAGGTCAGGGAATCCCAGAACGGCCTTTAGAGAAGGTGCTGCCTTGCCCTTCTGTTATTCCCTGACTGCTCCAGCTCATCGTTTACCCTCGTCATCCGGGCAGTTGATTAGGCGGTCAAAGGGTCGCAGACGCGGCTGCGGCGCGTCACGACCGCGGCGATCAGCTGTTTCCAGCCTATTTAGCCATTTTCTCCCTAATTTTCACTGTTTTTGGCTGCTTTTCTTAAGGTTAGTTGTTCCTTGTCTTCACAAGGTAAATTATGATTGAGATTTCTCTAATTTTTGCGAACAATTGAATAATTAAACAAACAATTAAACAAATACCTAAAAAATCGCAAAAACACTTCATTACAAAAACAAAAAAGAATTCACGTCCTAATATACTTCATAAAGACAAAAACAACTTACCTTGAAAAAAATAATAATACAGTGAAAATTAGGGAGAAAATGGCTAAATAGGCTGGAAACAGCTGATCGCCGCGGTCGTGACGCGCCGCAGCCGCGTCTGCGACCCTTTGACCGCCTAATCAACTGCCCGATGGCCACTGTACTCGCGTCTTATCAAGAGAGGCACGTCATGCCTTCGCCTGTAACACGGGCGCAGAGGTTTTCAGGCTAAGCGGAGTGATGTTCGCGTTCAAGGGTTCAAACTCTCCTTTGAGTACAAGTTTTCAGCTAGACGCGGGTGCCAGAGCAGGGTACATCATTTATTGGGAATTTCGGTCGAGTCCGGGCGACAACCCCTTCCCCCTCTTCGCTCCCCCGCCCAGCTAAAATAAAAGTTGGCGTCGATACAACCGGCCGGCCCTCATAAGTTAGCAAATACTATAATGATAATAATAATACTAAATCGCACCCTCCCAATCACGACGCCAATAGATTACTTCCTGTTGGAATCCGCAAAATAATGTGCGCCTGTAGGTTAAAGCGGCTTGCTGGCGGCCAGCTGTTTTTCGTGTCTCTGCCCCCAATCGATCTAGAACAGAACGCAGTCACAGGACATTTCAGTGGAGTTTCATCGCTCAACCCTCAAATTCTTTGCAGCGAGCTAACAGTAGTTCTAAAGCATCTTTCTATGAGCAAGTTTGGCTGCCGCTGCTTGTCAACCGCTAATCTCGAAGCGGTAGTAGTGGGCTTTCCCAAAAGTCTTGGTATTTCAAAGCAAATGTAACACAAACTAAGAATAATTTATCTTTAATGCTATCTGTATCAAACTTCTACGTTTAATTGTGATAAACAAACAATGTTAGGAATAAAGGCAGTCATAGCCACTTCATATGCCACTTGGAATGAGTGAATAGTGCTCCTTGACATTTTTGTGAGCTGCGGATAGCGTTGACTCGCCTGAAAAGGAGTGAATTGAGGAGCGAGAGTGGCACAGCAGCAACTCACTGTATCGTCAGCAGCTTAGGTCATGTCTGGAAGAAGAATTAATTCAGGGTCATTATCAACTATGGCTACCCCAATCTTTCCAGAAATCAGAGCCAGGTTTTTCAGCGCGTACCTTCTTTTTCCCACAGGGGCAGATTCGTCTGAAAATTTGCTTCCAGAGTAGCTCGACCTCCTGAGCGAGTGTCACATCCGCTTGGTCTGAAACTACCTGGCGCGCGCCACAGGCCAAAATAGCCTATATACATAACCAAATTGCCTGGAAACTTGCCCTGAAGATAAGTTTGACCTCCTGAACATCAGCGTCCATCAAGATGGCCCAGTACTCTGCCGGGCGAATGCTTCAGGGTACCCTGAAGTCAGCAAAACTGGCTGGAAACTTGTCCCAAAGCATGTTGACATTCTGAGCATGAAAATTCCATCTGCACTAAGGGCCAAATGTATTTGAAAATGCAGGAAAGGGAGAAGCCAGTGACAGCGCAGCCTGGTGCGTTTGTCTGTACCCTTCCCCAAAGATAGTGATCACTTTTTCTGCTAAGGCTAAGCGTTGCCAAAGAGAAGGATCACTATCGCAAGCAGCCAGAAAGGGTACTGTCTCATCTGCCCGGGTTTCTCTGACCGTGGAAAATTTGATGGGGTGAGCGCCAAAAACTGGGGCGATATTCGTGATAGGGGCATCAAATTATCCTCATGAGCAAAATTCGGCAAAAAATATCTCATCTTGGAGTAGTATTAGTTGAACAGAACCAAAATTTGTTTTGCCATTATTTCATTCAAATGTTATCATGAGCACCATGTCCCGGTGCTAAGTGCCTAATTCTTCAAATATACGCGGTTGAAACGGGAGCAAATATAGCCGTAAGGGAGGGACACGGCGGCGCAACCATACCAGTTCTCGCCAGTTTTCCTGTATCCTCTCACCGAGTGGAGAACTGGCCTATGTACCCATTCCACGGCCTTGGGAAGACACGGCAAGACAGGCCAAAGGTAATGACATGGCATGAAGGCGCCGCCGCGTGGCCCCCTTTACTTGGAAAACAAAATCATACACCTGTGCACGGCTACATTGAAAACGTCACCACCCTACTGACCCGTACAAAATTTGATCGCTCATAAATCGCTTGTGAGATTCAACTAGCAACTTTGGCTTTTGTACTTGTAAGAGCATTACTAGCTCTTTCGATGCCAAAAAGCCTTTAAGTCAAAGTTTCATGGTAAGTTGAGCCGCTCTCCCAGTTGATGGCCTAGATGAGTTCTTGGTTACGAAAAAAAGCGAAAAAGCACGGCATTGGACGAGCATTTTTGGACGAGTTTCCCCGCTGACATCGCGCTTTGATGGAGAGGGTTCTCACATATGCATGTAGCAACGCTTCGTTTCAACTCTTCATCAATGAAGTGATAAGAGTCAGCGGTGATGTGACTTGACGGCCATTTGTGGGCGGGCAGTTGCGGTGGGCGTCTAGGTCGGCATGTTGCACCTTGGTAGGCGCTATAACGGTGCCCTTGGTTGGAAACTTAGCACGCAGCGCCTGTTAAGGGGCATAATGTTCTTTCGTGCTAGGCGTGTCGACCCTAGACGACTTGCCAACTTATCGTGCCACTTGCGTTTAATCTCCTGTTCAGGTCATGGAGCAATACAGTTCACATACAAGTGCTCGCTAATGTGAGATAGAGCAAACCATTTACTTCAACCATGCCTGATGCTTCATGCAGGCGAGGTTAGGCGCTTTAGTCGGGTTATGCCGCTTGTTGAGAAGATCCTAAATCAAGGTGAAGCTGCACTTTTCTTCGGATTCTCTGGGTAAAGCGAAAAAGGACGGAAACTTTGAGTCGTAGCAAAGTTCTCACCGCAAATGGAACTCCATCTTTATAGGCAGCACCTTTCATTTCATAAAGTAATGGCCACCCCAGAGTTGATGACAGGTTAACTCCATGAAAAAGGTTTAGCAAATATGAAGTCACCATTCGTGGTAACGACCTTGTGTAAGCCAAACTGCCACCTACTGCAGCATAGGCGAATTTTAATCTGAAACATTAAATGTCAAATCGCTCGGGGCCTTCTTCCACCGGTGATAGCTGCTTTGAGTGTAGGGCTTTTGAGAAATGAAAGGCAACATGTCAGAATGATGTCTCTACTGTTGCGTTTTCTTAGTAACCTGAATCTTGCGCTGTTTGCAAAATATTTCAGATGGGTTTTTGATGGATTAATTCCAAGAAGCGCTACAGTTTCCTCTGAGAACTTCCCAATCTAGGAGATATTTTAGATAGCTTTCGATGGGCGAGATTTTGAGTCACTCAAAAGCTCGACCCCTATCGCGACTCCCGTTGGGTTCAGCTAATGAGCATAATTTCGTTAGCCAGCCGATACGATTTGACTCGTTTGTGCGCCGTGCATTGCGCTTCTACGCAGAAGTGGTGAAAAAGGTGTAACTTCTGATTTTAGGTGGTTTTGTCCATGCAAGCAAATGTTTCTTAGGGGTTTGGAAAGATCGAACGCACGAATCTTTTTGAGATGTATCAATTTAGTCATCTACGTACTTACGAAATCATTTTAATTGTTGATATTGCTAATTAATTAATGACTTATTTTGTAGTCTTCCACAACATCGGGTCCTCTGCAGTTTTCCGTCCGCTCCATCAAATTTACAATGACACTTTGTGCAGTTTGGTGTTAACTGACCCTGGGTTTGCGACCCCCCCCCCCCCCCCAACGGCCAAACAGACCCACCCCGCCATGGGTTGCGCAAAACGACTACTGTACCTGGTTCGGTACGCAGCCAGCTAATTCTCCCCAACCTTCATTTATCGGGTGTACCACGAGAAAAAATAGCCCAAAGAGGAGCGGGTATGTTACCGACGTCGGTTACTTTCGCTTTTCTCTACATCATATTTTTCCTGCTGAACTCGTCCTGCCAATTCCTTTGACTTCTTTTGTTTTAGTTTCCTGGGTAAACAAACAACCTTCGTTTTGCCTTTGGCCACAGCAGGAAATAAGCCGCTCAGAGAATTAGACGTATCGTATTGGCTCATGTCGTTCAGATACTGTCCCTCTGTGTTCATTCCCGATCCGAACCTGAATCAAAAAAGCTTACTCTTTAGTTGATTGTACACTAAATATACCGTCGCAGTAAGTCGTGCGGTGTCTAGTGACCCTTCCGTAACTTTTTCACTGCAGTTGTTTTCTTCCCAAATCGATCACCCGATCACCATTGGTAGAGAAGGAAGCTAGAGGGGGCTTTCTCCACTCCTTTTAACACCGCCCTGACTGATTGCGGCCATGTCAACTACAGTTCACGTAACTTCCAAAAATCCTATTGCAAACTGTATAAAATATCACATGTCACTTACTTAGATCCCAGAGTGCTAACATAGGAAATGGCCCTGTTGGATTTAAGGTCCACTATAGTGAACATATTTGCATCCCAACCCTGAAAGAGCAAATTTTCACGTCAAGCGATTAGCTCTCCCTTTTTTTTCAGAGCCATCCTTAGTCTTAAGAGAGAAACGGTTTCAAAACCCGAGGAGAGGGCACGTACCAGAGAAGACTGCTAGTCCCCCCTTCGGTCGCCGACTTCTGTGGAAGCTGTTTCAGCTGGACGACTAGAGAGCGGTGTTTAATGTGAAAAAAACTCATCTTATTCGGTAGCAGTGTATTTAACCAGTTAGCTACAGTAATTATAGTTCTTTTGTGGAATATTCGTCTCACATTTAGGACTGGAAAAATCACAACGACACAACGCTAATCGGAATATGGGCTTTTCAGTAAGAGAAGGAGGTGGCCAGATCTTCGATGGATCGTGTGTGGAATATGTGAGACCACAAATGCCTTAGAACGCAATTTAGGCGGGAGAGCGCCTGCAAGAGCAGGAAAATTACAGCGTTGGAGGAATTGGATTAGAGCTGCTCGTGAACTTTACTAAAGCGTTGACACGTTGAATGAATTGGGTCCTAGTACAAATGTCGCAAGCGTCACTGGCTTGTTTGGCCACTGTAGCTGGATGTGCTGAACTAGATATCAATGATAAGTACAGAATCATGTCCATTGAACATTTCTAGGTGTCCGGTTCATCCATCTTCCTGCTACGGTTCAGGAGGGGCGCCGTCAAATAAGAACTGCTTGAAAAATTATTTCTTGCATTCCTTTCGAACTTACCGTTGCATCAATACTGTCTCTCTTTCGACCAAATTTCTTTACAAATCTGAAAAATTAAGGGATCAAAAAAGCTACTTATAGGTCCAATAGGTATAGTGTACATGCCGAAAATATGTTTGACAGAATTGCTCCTTTATGAAGTCAGACGAAAGGAGAAAGGAGTACAGTAACTGATCGTAGATGAAGGGAGTGCAGGATTTTTCAGAAACGAATTGGAAGGCACTCCGCATCCCAGAACTCGAGAGGGCGTGGGCTACGTACATCATTCGAAGGTGGTGATGGCTGGCATGTGGAGGAGATGTCGCCGTTCAAAGGTACGGTCCGCGATCAGGTATAGAAGTTGAAAATATGGCGTCAGGAGGTAGTGTGGTCCGCGACGAACAACCTTGTACCGGTTTCGCGGCAAAAAATTGTAAGGGAGGAAAAACGAAGCTGCGGGACGAAAAAGGGGATGAAAATCTTCACTTATACGGTCGTAGAAATCTTATCGGGGAATCAGCGGATGAGGACATAGTAGGTCAAGATGGAGTTAATTGGCACGGACGAAAATGGAATTGGAATGGG